TACGCGCGGGCAGCACAATGAAGAGAAGCTCATCACCAACAGGTTCAGAAAACCACATGCTGCGTTTCCCCACAAAGGTCCTCACAGGCGATCGAAAAATATCCCCTCCTACGTTATTTTTTTATAAAATACGAGCAAGTTTTTCGCGCGTTGCAAACTTATTTAAAAAAAAGTTTAATCTGAGGCGAGTCAGCGAGCAACAACAACATGGCGTCTTTTCAAAAAGTTGCAGCAGCTAGTAAGCACGTGTGTGATGTCAGATGGGATTGTACTAAAACTATTTGAGTACACTGCCAAAAACAAATGAAAGCATTTGAGTGCTGTAAACTTAAAATTATATTTGTGTACTAATTACTCAAAAACAAATTAGAGGCGAATGAACGTTTTTATTTCTTTTGAGTAATTACAACCCAATTCCTTTATCAAAGATTTACTATTTGGTTTTACAGTGTATAGGCTATTGGCTGTGCTAATTAGAAGGTGACCACAGTGACTGTAGACTATTTAAACTGCTTGGTCACTGTCATAACTTGGGAGAAGCGACTAGTCAACAGAAGAGACGGATGGCAGCGCGTAATTGTTTTGCTTAATACTTGTTTGTAGATCTGTTGTTTAAATTATTGCCCAACACTGCTTGCTGCTAAGAAGGTTTATTTCGTACTCTAGCTATTTCTACTGCTATTTTTCGTTGTATTTTGTGTTTTTGATTGCACTTTATTTGTAATTAGAGTAATAGCCGTCGGCTAAGAAGGAGCTTCTGTTATTTATATTGCTCCGTTCCTGCACTTAAGTGTGAACTGTAGTTTCGATTTGAGCAATTGCCCTGCTATAGGCTATTGGCTGTGCTAATTAGAAGGTGGCCACAGCTGTTTTCACTGTAGTGTCTTAGACTGTGTATTTATTTGATGTCTGTGCGCTGACGCGGAAGTGTTCAGCCCTCGTGTTTGTTGTAGAGTTTTCCTTGTTCAAAATAAATTGCTAAAGAGGTTTTGAAGCCAGTAGACTTTATTGATCAAACAACAAACCGAGTTACGGCTTGCAAAGGTAACTCGGCTTTGTTGTTTGATCAATAAAGTCTACTGGCTTCAAAAACTCTTTAGCTATTTATTTTGAACAAGGAAAACTCTACAACATAATTGGCGACCCCGGCAGGACAGGAGACAGGGCAAAGGAGTGAAAAGCTGCAGCAGGCTCTCTATTTAGCTATTTATTTTGAACAAGGAAAACTCTACAACATAATTGGAGACCCCGGCAGGACAGGAGACAGGGCAAAGGAGTGAAAAGCTGCAGCAGGCTCTCTCTGGATAATTGGCACAGACCGTGGCCACGAGGTAAGCATTTTTGCTTATAAAAAATAACGTTTGGTTAATTCTCCAGAGATTGCCAGTTGTGGTAAAATCACTCTAAAAAGCTCTTCCAAAGAAATTTTAAGAACCAACAGAAGAAAAGGGGTTTTGAATCCAGAATTAACTGTAATCATTAAATGTTGCATGCAGATGTCTTTGTTTACTGCATAGTTGCAGTGGGCGCGCAGAAATAATTTATGGTACCGATTACAGGGGGTTTAGTTTTTAGTAATAATCCTGAAAGATGGTGGTTTAGTTTGTAGTCAAATCCATGGTGGATAGTTCTTAGTAAAAATCCTGAAAGATGGTGGTTAGTTCTTAGTAAAATTCCATGGTGGTTAGTTCTTAGTAAAATCCTGTAATAAATTAATAATTGTTGTGTTGTTTAGAGAAAAAAGTCAGCAGACTGAAGCAGAAGATTGACAGGTGTTGATATTTCACACCAGTAAGTGAGACAAGAGAACGATATATGTTGTTACCTTTGCAAACCGTAACTCGGCTTTGTTGTTTGATCAATAAAGTCTACTGGTTTCAAAACCTCTTTAGCAATTTATTTTGAACAAGGAAAATTCCACAACATAATTGGTGACCCAGATGGGACAGGAGACAGGGCAAAAGAGTGAAAAGCTGCAGCAGGCTCTCTCTGGATAATTGGCACAGACCGTGGCCACGAGGTAAGCATTTTTGCTTATAAAAAATACGTTTGGTTAATTCTCCAGAGATTGCCAGTTGTGGTAAGATTACTCTAAAAAGCTCTTCCAAAGAAATTTTAAGAACCAAAAGAAGAAAAGGGGGTTATGAATCCAGAATTAACTGTAGTTATTAAAGGTTGCATGCAGATGGTCTTTGTTTACTGCAAAGTTACAGTGGGCATGCAGAAATAATTTATGGTACCTATTACAGGTGGTTTAGCTTTTAGAAAAAATCCATGGTGGTTTAGCTTTTAGTAAAATTCCATGGCGGTTTCGGTTTTAGAAAAAAATCCATGTTGGTTTCGGTTTTAGAAAAAATCCATGGTGGTTTAAGTTTTAACAAAATCCTGTAATAAATTAATAATTGTTGTGTTGTATTTAGAGAAAAAGTCAGCAGAAGATTGACAGGTGTGGATAGTTCACACCAGGCAGATACTGATAGTAGAGAAAGATATATGTGATTTGTTTATGCGCTCTTGTCTGAGTGATCTGGTAGCGGAGACAGCGTGAGAACGTAAATATTATTTCTGTCGGGTGTATTGAAGTGGTGTTGTCTGACTCTTCACATAGACATATCTTAATAAGAATGACACATTGCTGGTACACTTGAGAGAAATTAATGATTTACATATTTTAAGACTAATGGATTGAAAAATAAATGGATAGATAAATAAACAGATTAATAATAAGATATATTGATTACATTTATTTATTATATATAACAATTAAGATATATATATATGATACATTTAATATATAACTTAATATATAAATAAGTACTATGAATGCACGGGCCAAAAACATTATATCTTATATCTGAAGACATCTAAAAAGTTTTATCTCATTATCCCTGAGAGACAATATGGAAAATAAATCCATTGTAGAGATTTAGAATAGTATAACTTGTGCAATGTGTTGATTAAATGCAGGATTCAGTGACCAGAAATAAAATAAACTTTAATTCAACAGCTATCTTAATAAATGAGACTTGTTGATTCAACTGAAGTAGAGGTTGCTTGGGAAATTTTCATTCACGATTACTAGATTATTTTGAACCCTGCATGTAAATATAGAAGAAATACAAAGATTGAAGTATGAAACTTTAAGAAAAAGATTATATAAGAAATATTATTACATAATAGAAAATTATTTGTAGTATTCTTAGATAAGCATAGGTAGTGTATTGCTGCTTGCTCTTTTCCTGCAACGAAGAGCTGCTTTACTAAAAATAGAATGGAAGAGATGCTGTTGTCAATCAGTGAGATTTTTAGCATTGAGACACCATTGACAAACATGGTTGAACATAAAGAGCAGATTGCTCAAACACACTTGGAATTAGAATTAATAAAAGTTCTCTTGAGTGTTCAAATTACAGAAGGTTTCTGGAACGGTGCCTTGAAGAATGGAAGAGACGAGAGGAGAAAAAGCAAAGACACGGCAGCACAGAGAAGGAGAGAGAGTGGCTGATAGGCGTTCAGCCCCCCCAACAATGAAAGTTGACACTTCTGAGAAATCGCTACAGGAAAAAGACTGACTTGATACAGGAAAAGGTGAAACTTTCACTTGAGACTTTTCCTGAAAACAAAGAAAGCATCAGGAGATGTAAAATCGTGGTAGGAATCAACAAAAAGCCACATTGAACAGAGGCAGAGAAAAATCAAAGCCAATATTGCAGAGGATGCTTGGGAAAATTTCCTTCACGATTACTAGATTATTTTAAACCCTGCATGTAGATATAGAAGAAAAACTAAGATTGAAGTCTGAAACTATAATAAAAAGATAATATAAGAAATATTATTACATAATAGAAAATTATTTGTAGTATTCTTAGATAAGCATAGGTAGTGTCTTGCTGCTTGCTCTTTTCCTGCAACGAAGAGCTGCTTTACTAAAAATAGAATGGAAGAGATGCTGTTGTCAATCTGTGAGATTTTTAGCATTAAGACACCATTGACAAACATGGGTGAACATAAAGAGCAGATTGCTCAAACACACTTGGAATTAGAATTAATAAAAGTTCTTAAATATATAAGTTATATAAGTTCTCATATATATGGATGAATTTTTGTCCTCCTGTGAAATTTGCGCATAACATAATGTTAGAAAAGGTATAACAACACCAATAGGTCATATACCAGTACCAGAAGGACCGTTTAAACATGTGGACATGATAAAACGGGTGCAAGGTAAAAGGTATATACTTGTGGTAATGGACAGGTTTAGTAGATGGGTTGAAGCAGTACCATCGGCAGATGAAGGGACAGCAACAGTGATTACATTTCTGACAAGAGAAGTATTTCCTAGATTTGGAATACCATCTGAAATAAGTTCAGATAATCGCAGGGTATGGTTGAGAGATTAAATGGTACCATTAAAACTAAAATTAACAAAATATGTGCAAGTACTTGATTGATGCTTTGCCTCTTGCATTAATGAGTTATCGTAGGCAAATTAACAGAAGTACACACCTAACACCGCATGAAATGCTTACGGGTCAACCCATGCCTGCGACATTCTGTAGGGGCCCCTATAAAGGACCCCCACTAGAACAATTGCAAATGGAAAGAACCTACATGAAGAAACTAACTGCGATACACAAAGCTATCTATTTACAGGAAACATGAAAACAGCAGCCTAGTAAGGAGACAGAGGCAGTGTGTCCAATTGTCCCGGGTGACTAAGTAGCTATATCTGAGAATATTAAGGAAAAAGTGGAATGAACCCAGGAGAAAGGACTACTCCAACAGCAATCCAAATAGAAGGAATCACTACTTTGTAGAGTACCCAAACTAAACGAAAAGAAGACAGAGGAAAAAGAAAACACAAAAGAAGAGGAAAATGAAAGGGAGCATAGCATTAAAAACTCTGAAAAAGATCAACAATGAGATTTACCAAGGAAAGAGGCTCCCGTAAATGGAAAAAATGAGCAAAGCAATACAGACAATGACCATCATATGCCTAGTGCACTTAATAATGCAAGTCCAAGTACAACCAACGGAAAACAGCCCGATTTCCTTTCAAGTAACTTTTCAGCCTTTGAACAAAACTGATAATTATACCAATTCAACAGAACAAAGAATATCGTAGAAACATTGATTATGATATCCAAAATGATGAGGAAATTAGGAAAGGCGATGAATTATGGGAAACAGCACAAAATAATGAGTGGTATAGATAGGCAACCTTTACAGCTAGAGAGACAGGAAAAGAAAATTGCTGGCTGTGCTCCAAATCTCCTTTAAACTAATAGTAATTGTATGAAATTTAAATTGTTCATACAATTACTATTACTGCTATTATTACTGCATACTACTATGTGTAGGCATTTAATCACCCCAAATTACATAGTAAAAATCCTGTTGCACTCTGCTTAGGCTCACCAGATTTTTCTGTCATAGGAGGTAGTTATCATTGTAATTAAAGACACACACTCTAAAGTACACTCTAAAGTATTGAATATCCTATAAGACTATCTATGGTTAATAGATAAGCCTGTTGTTGTTTCAGCTTGTTTCCTCTATGTGAAATTGACTGACATAGAGTGGTTGCTGAATTTCAGAATGAGAAAAGCCACATTCATTCATCTATGTGGTATTCTCCGGCCCTGTTTGACCCGCCAACACACCAGATACAGAATACCACTCTCTGTAGAGATTCGTTTAGCAATTTGTCTGTGGAGGCTAGCAACTAACCTAGAATACAGGTCAATATCCCATCTCTTTGGTGTTGGTATGTCCACTTGCTGCCTCATCGTCCAACAAATCGTCACAGCCATAAATACAACCCTGAAACCACTGTACATCAAAACACCCTCTGATGCTGATTTGAGAACAATAGTACAAGGTTTTAGGGATAAGTGGGGATTACACTGTACATCAAAACACTTCACGCTCATCAAGACGCCAAAGCCTACACTCGCCTCCATCAGCGAGACTTCCAACTGCATCCCCGGCATCCTCCTTTCATTCTGCTGTGCCAACAAGTGATTATTTGGCGCTAATAGCTGAGCTTGTGTTGTCCTATAGAGGAGTGCACTTCTACACTTATAACAAGCTCTTCTCTGTAAAATGTGCAGGATGGGTCTCCGATTGGAACCAATGCCCCTACTGGGGTGCAGAAACCTTTCATGCATGATCTGCAGGTCAGTGGCACATTCCACCATGTCATGCCCACAAATTAACCCCTCTATTCCCCCAAATACATCCCCAGGTAAATCTACCAGCTACGTACCAAGACCTGCCACCACCAACACGAATCCCAATTCTAGAGGGAAAGCTCTATCTTTTGCATGCAACAGGCAGCCAGGCAACAATTTCTTTGTTTGCAAATGCACCAGACAACATTGCAGATACCTTCACATCTGTAGTGGTGCTCATGCCCGTCATGTATGCCTTGTCATGAAGTCAGTCAATAAAAAAAATTAAATAAATTACTTGTCAACTCCTGTGAATATTTCTCGCCTATCTATCAAACTATCTTACCACCAGGACACCAAATTCACTAAATATCTGCTGTAAGGTCTCAAACTTTGTTTTAAACAGGTGTGGAATGCCTGCTCTCTCAAAACATTATCTGTAATAATCTCCAATCCATTCTTCACAGTTTTTCGTATTAGCCCCCAATGGAGTGGCTACTAGGAAATTCTCGTAAGAAACTCCTTATAATCGACCTGTCGGCTCCGCATAATTCCCTGTTCCCAAGTATAAACAGCTTGATTCCTCTAGACAAATTTTATCTCAAATACCATGATATTGATCATGCGATCTATATGTTAAAAATCGTGGGTCATGGTGCTTGGATGGCAAAAGTCGGCATTACCTCAGCTTTCAAAGTGATGCCTATCCATCCGGATTCATGGCACTTATTTGGGGTATGCTGGCACGGGAAATTCTATTTCGCTGTACGCTTAACTTTTGGATGCAAAATCAGCCCCAAGATTTTTGACATGCCATCAGAAGCCGTTTGTTGGATTTTGTCGAACAATTACGCAATTCCTCACCTCATTCACTTGCTCGATGACTTTCTAATCATCTCACCTCCCGACGCCATCCCAACTGTGAATATCCTTACAGTTAAAAAAAAATTTCTGAGCTCGGAATTCCTATCACCCAATAAAAAAACACAAGTCCTGCCACATCCATTGAATTCCTAAGCATTCATTTAGAATCAGTCAAATTGCAGGCTTCTCTGCCCAAGGAAAAAAAATCGATAGAGTGATCTTCGTAGAATCTACCCTTTTAGACAACTCAAGTTGTTCAAAACGCGAACTCCTATCCCTGCTCGACTACTTAAACTTCACCATGCACATTGTGCCTCAAGGCTGCCCTTTAATTTCACATCTCCTCCCCCTCGCATCCTCTGTATATGCGCAGGAGGATCAAATTTCCAAAGACATGCCACAATGAACTCTTATCAAGGATCCTTTTCCTGAAACAGGGGAGCAGATCATCTTTTTTCTATAACAGTCTCGTATCTTTTCCTGTTGATATCCAACTATTCACAGCCCCGCCCTCCCGGCTTCAGGGTTTTTTATCAAGGAGTCTGGTTCGCGTCCCCATGGCCTCCCCAGCTTCAAGACACACCACAGTCCTCAGCGCTGTTCGAGATTTACCCTCTTGTCGCAGCAGCCTTACTGTGGGAGAAAGAATGGACTGCTAAAAGTATTTTAGTGCATTGTGAGAATTAAGCAACAGTTCAGTGCATTAATAAAGGCCATTCTCATTCACACACTCTGATGCCACTTTTAAGACATCACATCTGGATCTCAGTGTGCGACCAATTTATCATAATTGCCAAACAAGTCCCCGGGTCAAAAAAATCAGATAGCTGACTCTCTTTCTCCTTTTTTGTTTCAGAAATTCAGGCCGCTGGCTCCGGAGGTGGACTAATTCCCAACTCCAGTACCTTACTATTCAGAACGAATATTTCCGTAACCCACCCATTAAAACCCCTTCTCGACACATCACCATCCTCTAAGCAGTTTCTCCCAGAATCCTCCAATCTAATGTGACAGCATGGAGGTGTTTTAAAGCATTCCACCTTTCATATAATCGGCTGTCTCCCGATTTTTCTCTCATTTCAATCTCCTCATTCATCTCCTACCTCAACAGCGTTAAGGGCCTCCAAGTCGGGTTCATCAAAGGTTACCTGAGTGGCATCCAATTTTTCTACAAACTGATTTTTGGCACTCCCTCCACTTGTCATGCCCTTGGAATGCCCCTTGGTTCTGTGTCTTGTGTTTTGCTCCCCATGTGCTCCCCATGACCCAGTTTCTCCCGTGTTTTATTATGTTCATTGATTTCAGGTGTGTCTTGTCTAGTTCCCCTCGTTTAGTTCTGGATATAAAGTGTGTTCTGACCCTTGTTTCCTGTCCGGTGTCTGAAGTCAATTCCCTATGCTATCTGTGTGTTCCTTCCCTGAGTCTTTATTTGGATAAATAAAGATTGCTCCTTGCTATCTACTCTGTTGTCTTCGCGCTCCTCGTTCCCCCTCAGTAGGCACATCGTGACAGAACACCGGACCGACAAACAGTAAGCGGCGCCCCTCCCCCCCGTGTTTTAGTTTCCGTTTAAAAAAAAAAGAGTTTTGTTTTCCATTTTTCCCCCCCGTGATCATGGAAACTGCTGCGAGATTAACCGCCCTAGCCCGCAGGGATCTTCCCTTCGTGGAGTTCGCCCGGGAATTCTGCGGGCTCGCCGTTAAGACAGCGTTGGATGACGCCACACTGAATTCTCTGTTCTGGATTGGGGCCAATTACCATCGCCCCGTGGACCTCCCAGACACCACTGGCCCGAGCTGGAGGGAAGGTATCCTCCGGTGTCTGGAGAGTGTCCGGCCCCGATTCAGAACCAGCTATGCATCAAGCTCGCTGGCCGCTCCTCCGTCAAGCCCACCGGCTGCTCCTCCGTCAAGCCCCCCAGCTGCTCAGCAGCCAAGCTCGCCGGCCGCTGCACTCTCAAGCCCACCGGCCGCTCAGAAGCCAAGCCCACTGGCTGTTCCATTGTCAAGCCCGCCAGCCAGTTCACTCCCAATCCCTCAGCTGAAAGCAGCAGTCTCCTTCACCTCTGCTCATAAAAGGAGAATACGGAGGAAGAGACTGTAGGCTCCAGCCCCTGAGTCCGTTCAAGTGTCGGCTCCAGCCCCTGAGTCCGCTCCAGTGTCGGCTCCAGCCCCTGAGTCCACTCCAGTGTGGGCTCCAGTTCATAAGTTAAGCCCAGAGAGGACTCCGGTTCCCACGTCCAGCCACGTTAAGCCCAGAGAGGGCTTCTGTTCCCACGTCCAGCCCAGGGAGGGCTCCCGTTCCCACGTCCAGCCCAGAGAGGGCTCCTGTTCCCAAGTCCAGCCCAGAGTAGGCCCCTGTTCCTAAGTCAAGCCCAGGGAGGGCCATAGTTCCCAAGTCAAGCCCAGGGAGGGCCGCTGCTCCTTCATCAGGCCCACGGAGGGCCTCAGAACCCAAAATTTCCCCAAGGAATTTTTTTTGGGGGGGCTATAGGGCTCTGCCATGGCTCCCTAGTCTGCCTGCTCCGCCATGGCCTCCTGAGTTCCCTGCTCCGCCATGGCCCCCTGAACTGCCTGCTCCACCATGGCTCCCTGGTGAGTATTGAACTCCTGTTGGATGCTGTGAGAGCCCCTGGTCAAGCAACCTTGCCTTTTTCCATCCAACTACCGGCAAGGCTTTCCCATCTGATGCCGTGAGTATTAAACCTTTACCCTATTTATTACATGTAAGTGTGAACTCTTGAAATCAGTGATGCTGTTCACACTGGATGTGGTGCGATACGATACGGCAAATCATAGACAGACTTTAGCTGTTGTGGCGTAACACGTAAATTATCGCATCCGGTGAAGACACGGTGTCAGACTCCAGCGGCGGAGGGGCCACGCATCACCAGCCAATCAGAGATCAGCTGGAGACAAGAACATGCCCTTTACGCAGATGATAATACCATGATAAATTGTTGACTTTTTTTTTTATTAAATAGGTTATTTTTCCACCTTTTCCTTTTATAATACAAGATATAAGTAAAAACTGGAAACCACTAAATAATCATAATGTCTGCATAATCCAAATGTCCCAAAAGGTATGTTTTACACACATACCTCCTGTCACAATCTGTGCTGGGAGGAGCGCGGAACGAGGAACAAGGAGACGTGGAGTACATAAACAGTCTTTAATCCTTGGAAACACAGGGTCCACACAACATCCAATGAGTAGAACCGACAAAGGAAGACTGAACAAACTTAAACTTAAATACAAGGGATAATGACTAAACACAGGTGTCAGGAATCATAATCAAACTAAACGAGGACAGGAACAAGACCAAATAAGGAAAAACAGGAACAGAAACAGGGGCAAAACACGACACCAAACAGTCCAGAATCCTGACACCTCCAGTGTTGGTAAGGTTACTTTGGAAATGTAATAGATTACATATTACAAGTTACCCTATAAGTAGTGTAACTATTTCAATTGCTCTATTGAAGTAATGTAAATGATTACATTTCATTACTTTTTGATTACTTTTATAAATTTGTAATGTTTTTCAGTTGTTAATCGTTTTCAAACATTTAAACCAGGCAGGGTTAACCTTACAGTAGTACTCAAAACTGATTACTGTCAGACTTTAAAAAGCCTTCGTCACTTGAATGAAGATTATAATTTTATTTAAAGCAAAGCCACCACAAAATCCGACTTTAGCGCCTCTATTTACTTTGAGATCATTTTGAGGTTAAATACAGATTTAAAATCATAACGAGAAATAGTTGAATAGCTAAGATACTGTTTTTGAAATCAAATCTTAGCATAGCTATGACAGGAAACACTGATATCTAACAATGCCTTGAAAGAAGCAGTTAATCTTAAAACAAAGCATATACATCAACGCAAACAGGAAATAAAACATTGGTGTCTCATATTGTAGAGCAATGTATTTACACATTTTTTTCTCAGTAACTGTAACTAATTACAATTACATTTATTTGTAATTAAATTACGTAATTCTGTTACATGTAACTAATTACTCCCCAACACTGCGTACCTCAAACACAGAACCAGGAAACAGGAAACACTAAGTTCAGGGAAAGAGAAACTGAAGTGTGGTTGAGCTGTTGTGTGTTTGTGTCTCTGTATTCAAGCAGTAACATGGCAAGATCCAGAGTTTTTCAGGATGAGTTAATGTGTGCAGTATGTCAGCATCTCCTGAAGGATCCAGTGACTATCCAGTGTGGACACAGTTACTGTGAGAGCTGTATTACAGGCTGCTGGGATCAGGAGGATCCGATGAGAGTCTACAAATGCCCTCAGTGCAGACAGACCTTCAGTCCAAGACCTGATTTAGCTACAAAACACCATGCCGGCTGAAGTGGTGGAGAAACTGAAGAAGAGGAAATAAAATAAGTCAATGTTAGCTGATGCTAACTGTCTAGCTAACGAGCTTGCTGGTGCTAAAATGAGGTAATATTTTAAAAATAAAGTCCAAATATTTTTATTCAACCATCTAGATAGATTACATCTGAGGGAAAAAGAAGGATGTGATGTTCAGAACATGGTAACTACAGTAATTATTAACGTGGGTAGTGATGCCCTCTGGGGGCATTTGGCCAGGGGTGTTTTTACACCACAGACAAGGTTTGAGAAGAAAATAAAATCATTATGAAAATCGAATTATATTTTCCTTATTATATTCATTATTTCCTTATTGGTTATTTTGGGAAAATCCCAGGTATTTTGAGCAGTAGGATTATAAAAAAAGATATGCTAATATACAATTAAATGATAAAAGTAGCCTATATAAAACTGCAAAATAAACATTCATCTATCCGTACTTTTTACTTAAGTACATAAAAAATCATGTACCTTTGTACTTTCACTCGAGTAAAATTGAAAACTGAGTACTTTTACTTTTACTGGAGTAATATTTTCTTATACGGATCTGTACTTTTACTCAAGTACTTGATTTGTGTACTTCGTCCACCACTGGTTGTAAGAGACGCCGCTTACAAATGGCTTTCAGCTCTGGAAATCTCTTAGGAATCATTTCTCTGAGCTCTTTCTTCTAGAAGATACATTTAGCTGTCAAACACCACTAGCGCCACCAACAGTTCAAAACTTTTTACCAAATTTTTGCTTCTGATTTATTATGTTTCAGTGGAATCAGTGAACTTGATAGTACTGATTCTGAGCAAGGTTCATCAAAATTAGATCAGGTGATCCTCAAACCTTATAATATAGTGTAAGTGGCCAATACTAGAATCTGTAGCTCTAATGTGATGTAATGAATATGAGAATAATGAAGCTGATGCTGTGAAAGTGCTGGATTGAGGTGCGTTACTAAAGATCAGTCAAGTCAACAAGAGCCACACAAATCTGATGTTGGTCCAGGTTATTAGGTGAAGTGTGGAGCTGATGAGTTTTTATTTTTTTCTGTAGAGTTTCCAGTCTCTCTCAGCACCCCCTGAATCTACAGACGTAAATGACAATCCCTTCAGTTCTCTCTTCTCTTCTGATGGTCTGAGAGAATCTGTCCATCAGCTGAGAGACAAACTGGAGGATTTCTGCAAAGAGGAGCTCAAGAAGATCTCAGACAGAGGTAAAGTCCTGGAGATTCATCTGCTCTCAGAAACCAGTCCATCATCATCTCATATCATGAAGAACATCATATTAGAAATGTCTTAGGAATGATACATACGCCATGTGACCTGTAAATGCGAAAAAAAAAACGTTTCCATTGCAGTTTTGCGAATTATTCCTTTTTTGCATTGCCTGAAAAACCACCTCGTGCAAGCGTAAAAACTTTTTTGCGATATATGGGCGTTTTTGCGAACTTGACGCTTTTCCATTAAGCGTATTTTCAATTCGCAATTTCAATTTGCGCACTTTGAAGGCTAATGGAAACGCGCCTATTGAGTGTGTTCATGTTCTTCCTGTAGAAGGTAAAAGAAGAGTTTTATAATTGATGATGTAAATGATGATGTGCACAGATATCTGGTCATCTGTACTGAGACACTGATGATACACTGAACATGAAGAGTTCAGCTACATGAAAAGATCAAACAGATTCATAATTCCTGATTCTGATGTGTTTTATCTCCATCAGATTCCCATCAGCTCACTCTGGATCTGAACACAGCACATAGATACCTCCGTCTGTCTGAGAACAATAGAGTGATTGCTGTCTCTTCCAGAGATCAGTCATATCCAGATCATCCAGATAGATTTGATGTGTATCATCAGGTGTTGTGTAGAGAGAGTGTGTGTGGACGCTGTTACTGGGAGCTGGAGTGGAGTGGAAATAATGGTGTGCATATATCAGTGTCATATAAGAGCATCAGCAGGAAGGGATCAGGTGTTGAGTGTAGGTTTGGATATAATGATCAGTCCTGGAGTTTGCACTGCTCTCCCTCCAGTTACACATTCAGACACAATAACATAGAGACTGTTCTCCCTGTGACACCCATCAGCAGCAGAATAGGAGTGTTTGTGGATCACAGTGCAGGAACTCTGTCCTTCTACAGCGTCTCTGACACAATGAGCCTCATCCACACAGTCCAGACCACATTCACTCAGCCGCTCTATTCTGGGTTTAATGTTCATAAAGGATCATCAGTGAAACTCATCTGTGTTGATGAATCAGAATAGACTGATGAGATATTCTATCCATAATACTTTGAGCTGCATGACAAATCAGTAACAGTGAGATGTTATAGAGTCTCTTTTCTCTTCATGAAATTAATACTGCAGCTGAACTTCTGTCAGTGAAATAACATGTTAGAATAAATGTGTGTAATAAATCCTCAAATAGACAGTAAGATCAGTGTGTGTGTGTGTGTGTGAGTCCTGCTGAGTGACCATGTCTTTCTGTGCTTTTCTCAACCTCTGTTTGAGTTGGTTTATATGCACAACACACTGAATATAAAGTCAGCTTTATTTATAAAGCGCTTTGTACAATATAGATACAATCAGGGTGCGAATTACGGTGGGGTTTGGGGGGGGGTCTGACCCCGACCCCCCTAAAGAAGGCTTGATCCCCCCTGATGGACGTCAAAACTAGATGTAGGGGGGGTCAGATAGAAAGATGGCTAGCCTACGTGTAATATGGAGATTTACTTGTAAATATTAATACGCATAATATGGAGATTTACTTGTAAATATTAATATGCATTTCTATAGCCCTGGCTGATTTAAAATATAATTTTGGCAGCCCCTGAAATGGGTCGTATTGACATTACCTGAGCGGTTGAAGAATACGCTACAGCGTTCATTCAAAGACGTGCATTTATTGCTTGGATGGAGCAAGAAAACCTAAAATGCATGTGTAGATTCAGTCGAGTGATAAAGTTTACCCTCTTCAAATTAATGCTGTTGAACTGAATTTACGGAGCAAACTATTTGCTAAAATAACCATTAATAGTAATACAGCGGTTCTGTCAGATGCGCGTGAAAGCTGCATGTGTTTCTATAACAAAGACTGTGTGTTATCTTTCAGAATCATCATTGGCTGATAGAAATACAAAAATAGGTTACATTACAGTTTTTTACTAAAAATGAAGATAAGGTAAAGGTGTGAATTAATGAATCCACGTTTTTAAACGAATCGAGTGAATCAATGATTCAGTGAACCATTCATAAAGGCAGTCACTTTCTTCGTTTCTGAATGAATGAGCTGTTTGAACGAATCGATTGAATGAATTATTGAATGACTCACTGACTTAATTGTCAGTAATTTCACTAATGAAAATAAAGCCTTAGGAGAACTGTTGTGCGTCTTTGATCAACACACAGCGGTGTTTCATTAATGAATCCATGTATTTAAACGAATCGAGTGAATCAATGATTCATTGAACCGTTCATAAAGGCAGTCACTTGCTTCGTTTCTGAATGAATCAGCCGTTTGAACGAATCGACTGAATTAATTATTGAATGACTCACTGACTTAAGACAGGTATTTGCCACCACCTACTGGCGTGTTTAATTGTAAATAGAGTATTGTTTGTTTTTTAAATAATTTAATATTTCACAATTTATTTGTATTTTTGTATGTTGAATTAAAATATTTCTATCTAAAGCTACTTATGTTTCAGCTACTTTTCTGTAATGTCTATTCAGAAAAGAATAGACCCCCCACCACCCCCGATGGTCACTGTGTAATTCGCACCCTGGATACAATGTAAACAGAAATGCAAGGGGGTAAAAATTATTTCTTTCTAAAAAAAAAACAAAAAACACATTTTGATTACCAAGTGAACAAATGATGTATAAGTGTTTTCACACATGATCACTGTGTGTAGGTCATCAGTAAATGAGTGTGGCATTTAAATGGCAGTGTTTCCCAAATTAAACAAAAGAGCTGTTAGTTTCGAATGGTGCGTGTAATGTAAAGAACTGTGTTTAGATTTTTTCAAAAAGTTTGTTTTACAATATCAAACTTAGTTTAAAGCATGTAATGTGATTATAGTTTTGCAGACTTAGTCTAAAGCTTAGGTGTATGAGTGAATGGTTCCACTAAGTGGGCCTCAAATATCACTTCTAGTGACTAAGCAATAAAAAAAACTGTATTACTATCATATTTACCTTTCAATTCAAATGTTCACTATCAATAAATAATTTTCATTATTCACCTTATGGAGCTCCAGCCCTTTCCAGTGTTTTGAGTTCTTGTGTCTTTCGGTGTCACGAGTCACTGTTTTTATTGTCACACATTTAATAATTAACTGTGGAATTTGTTTTCATTTTTAGGTTACAGCATGTTAATTATGTATTCTATTATAGAACAAAGATGTTTATCTGAACGTGTAATAATGAAAACAGGTTTTCTGTAAGGGGTAGGTTTAGGGTTAGGGTTGGGT